ATTGATTATAATGAAACTTTTAGCCCAGTGGCCAAGCAACCCACTATTAGAGTTTTGCTTTGCATGGCTTTACACTATCATTGGCCTCTTAAACAGCTTGACATAAGCAATGCTTTTCTCCATGGAATCTTGGCTGAGGAAGTTTATATGTTCCAACCTCCTGGTTTTTCCAATCCAGCTTATCCTCACCATGTTTGCAAGCTTCAAAAAGCCCTTTTTGGCCTCAAACAAGCCCCTCGAGCCTGGTATTCCACTCTCTCTCAGTTTTTGCTTGGACAAGGGTTTGTCAACAGTTATTGTGACAATTCATTGTTCATTAGGAAATCATCTTCCTCCATAACCATTTTGCTTGCTTATGTTGATGACGTTCTTCTTACTGGGAATAGTGCTGCTCATATTCAGTCTCTTATTCAACAAATGCAGAGTCTTTGCTATGGAAGAGCTAGGGCCCATTTCCTATTTTTTAGGTATTTCTATCAAGTCAGTAGCTCTTATGTACTCTCTCAATGCAAATATGCATCTGAAATTCTTGCCAAAGCTGGTATGAATTCTTGCAAACCTTGCAACACTCCTATTGCTGTCAAGCCTTCTACAACTGCTTTAGATTCTCTACCTTTTCATTAGCCTGAGCTGTATAGAAGTTTGGTAGGAGCTTTACAATATTTGACTATAACCAGGCCCGATTTGTCTCTGGCTCTCAATCAAGTTTGTCAACATATGCATGCTCCATCAAATGGTCATTTTGCTGCTCTAAAACAGATTCTTAGATTTGTTCAAGGTTCTCTTTCACATGGACTCACAGTTCAGCCCAGTTCCTTTACTTTTCAGGCTTTTTCTGACTCTAATTGGGAAAGAGACATCTTCGATAGGAAATCTACTTCTGGCTATTGTGTTTTTCTAGGCTCTAATTTGATTTCCTGGTTTGCTAAGAAGCAACCTACTGTCTCCCGGTCCTCTACAGAGGTTGAATACAGATCTTTGGCACATACCACTGCTGAACTTAGTTGGCTACAAATGCTTCTTGTTGACTTCGGCATTGCTATCACTGCTCCACCCATTCTCTGGTGTGATAACCAATCCGCTATAGCTCTTGCTTCTAACCCAGTTTTCACACTCGATCAAAACACATCGAAGTGGATTGTGATTTTATTAGAGACAAGATCTCTGCCAGAAAACTTGTTCTTAAATATATCCCTACCGATGATCAAATTGCTGATATATTTACAAAGCCCTTATCAGCATCCATATTTTCTTCTTTAAAGTCCAAGCTTCTGGTCACTACTCTTCCCATTAGCTTGCAGGGCTGAGGAAATAAAGTCCACAAGTGCTGAAAAGACTAAGCTAGCAACTGTCGTAGCCACAGCTCAGGTTGTAGTCATTCCTAATGAAACAGAGGAAGTTTAGCATATATAAATTGTTTAGGTGTGTATTTACTAAGTGTGTGTGTCACGACCCAAACCTGTCCCTATAGGTTTAGCGCCATGATCGGCCAGTAATCATAGATTACCTACGACCTCTAAACAAAAATCCATTTAATATAAAGTACGGGGCTTAGCGGAAGTCTAAAATAACATAAAAGTTATCCATTGAGCCGTGCGTATATGAAAAGGACTTCATATCATAAGCAAATATTCACTCTTTGTATTTAAACATCACATCTTATAGTTATACAAAACCCCAAAATATACGTAAATACAAAATCACTCTGATAAGCAAAAAGGGGTTCAACTAGCATGGCTCCACATGAGCCTAGTTACTTCACTTGGAAGCTCCTCAAAAGGCTGATCGGGGTAGACTTAAGGCTTTCTTAACTTTGATGATCAGCTTGCCCACCTACATATATATATATATATATATATATAGATAAATAGTGAGTTAGGGCCCAGTGAATAATAACAGAATAAAGAGGTTATATGAATGAAGTTTGATAACATTGCCAAACCAAAGTTCATTTCAGTTCTCAATAATCCATTAACTTCATCATCAATGTCATTCAATGTCAATTTGTGTGGCACATCCTTGAAGTAATAATATTTGATTGACAATGGACCACAATGGTCTAACACTAGAGATCTCTGTGTGTTAATCAATCCAAAAGCCATGGTATTGTTTCCCCTAGGCAAGGGCGCCTACGTTCAATGGATGCCATAAAGCCATTTCAAAACAGAATTTCATTCATTATGAGAAAATAACGTTTCAATAAGCTATTCCATCAATTATTATTACGTTTCAATAACTCATTCAATCAATCATATATCAATTTTGATAGCAATAACATTTTCGAAAGTAAACATAACTTGAACACATCTTTGTAAAGTTATTACTCACAATGGGTTATGTTGTCGCTAAGCCTCGAACGTCCACCTATACAAGGCACATAACAAACATACAATTGGAGTACCATTCGATAGTTAATCTACTTAATTAAATTGTCTTCATGTGTTTCTAACTCATTCCATGTTTATATGAGCTCAATTGGCACCTAAGAGTACTTAAAATGACATGATAATGCAAGTATGCACTTAGAAGGACTAGTCAAATTTTGCTGGAAACAGGGTCTTCGCTGGAGTGCAACCTCCTTCGCTCGAGCGGGGGTTCAAAAATAAGGGTGGTCGCTCGAGCGCAACTTCTGTCACTTGAGCGGTCTGCAAACTTGGCAAAAGTACTGGTTGCATGAAATTTCCGCTCGACGGTCGCTCGAGCGGAAGACTGAGTAAGAAGGGTCCTCGCTCGAGCGCCACTTTGGTTGCTCAAGCGGTCTGTAAAATTTTGTAAAACTTCTAGGAGCTCGATTTTCACAATCGAGCGACACTTTCTTCGTTCAAGCAAACAGTGTGAATTTTGGAATTTTTAGAACTGTGTTTGAACTTCAAAGTTGGTATTCAAAGGTTCCAAACGCGTGTTTTAGATACAAGAACATGGAAAAACATTATAAAACATGGAAACATAGTTAATTTGGGACCAATTGTTCAAAACCATGGTAAATCCTCAGCCAAAATCTCCAATTTCAAGTTATAAAGCAAGTTTGACTTAAATTGAATGTATATTTCTTCAAAACATAATCAAGTGATATGAAAAGTATGAAAACATGAAGGACTCTTCAAATTGAAGTGTAAATGTGCCATGCATGTAGGAATCTCATGGATTCTAACTCAATTTATGCATGCATGTACATAGTTCAACCCAATTCTTCCAATTCAAGCTAATTCATTCCTCTATTGTATAATTTCATGCAAATAAACTCAAAACTTAGATGAATTCAACTTCTACATGTTTTATTTACAAGGATTAGGGTTGAAGATCATACCTAGAGCTTGAATTCAAGTGTCTTATAGCTTAATTCTCCAATTCCCTTCAATTCCTTCACAATTCTTCTCTGTCTGTCTCTCTCTCTCTCTAAGTGTTGAGGTAACTCTCCTACTCTCTCATAATCTCAGCCAAGTGTGTATATATGAGCTCAAGACTTAGGCCTCGTTTGGGAAAAGACTTTTTTTAGTAATTTTTTGACTTTTTGGCTAAAATATGATGTAAAAAAAATACTAGTATGTTTGGGATGACTTTTTAAAATTTTACGAAAAGGAGTGCAAAAAGTACAGAGTAAAGAAAATCTTTGACTTTCTGGTATAAATTGTTGGCTTTTTGATTTTTTTAGTGACTTTTGGACTTTAGGCTAAAAAGTGAGGTTGCCAAACGAGGCCTTAATTAGAGCCTTATATAGGGTATGATTAGCCTAGGCTAATTAAGCTTATTTATCGATAATTAATCCTATCCAAGTTATATTGATTCCAATTATTTTATTCTAATTATTTTGGTCTGAATCAAATTTTGATGAAAGTTGTCATAAAATTCTAAATATTCTTAAGCTAATCAATTTCAGTTTCTGAAGTTGTCCTGGCTTTCAATTTCTGTCTCTAAGTTGTCAATTCGAATAGATATTCCATGTAATAACAAATAACTACAAAATTAAGCATGTAGTCACACAATTAAACACATAATAATGCAATTAGACTTATTGAAATAATGTAATGTAATAGTACGGTGGTCGGGGTCATCACAGTGTGTGAGTTGGTTACATTGTAAAAATATATTTTAGTTAGTTAGAGATATATGATTAGGCTATTAGGAGAGGTTGGTAAAGTCAGTTAGGAATCAAGATTGTATTGTGTATATAAACTCAGAGTGTAATATCTTTTCATTAATAAAAGAGAAGAAGAAAGAATCAGTTCTGGAAATTCATCATATATACGTCTTAACTATTAGTAAATTTGACTATATACCTTATTTTTAAAAATTTATATGTCATATGTCTAGCTTAACATATTTTTTCCTTTGGTATATTTTTTAACATATAGTACAAAAATTTTAATTTTACATTTCATGTATCTCTTTGTATAGTAAATTAATTTACAAAATAATTTTGTTAGTGTTATTTTAAAAAAATTATTGCAAAACATTTACTTGCATCTCAAGTTTTTCTATTTAAATCTCATGAGTTTTATTGCTTAAAAAATCACTACTTACACTATCATTTTGAGAGCCTAGAAGAAAAAAAATGCAAATATTATTTCTTAAAAAAATTATAATATGAATTTATTTTAAATAAAAATTTATGTCTATTTTTTATTTAAATAAAAAATAGAATTGCCGTGCATAGCACTGCTGCACCGCTAGTATATTATATAATTTAATGATATAATGCGATACGATTTGATCTCCAATTAAGATTTAGAAACATTGGATTTGGAAAATGATCCCAAGAGGCCAATTCAATGGATGATTTTTAAAATGATAACGGAGACATTGATGTTCTTTCGTTTTAAAAAATAATGTCTCTGCATCGCCTATTCCAATTACCTATATGTTATCAAATGAAAAGACACAATGTATGTATTTCCATTTGAGAGTTGTCCAAGTAGGCTGGCACTCAATAATTGATCATTTTACCCATTCATATTCCCAACATTGATCTCCAAAGTCTAAATATGTATATATACAAACAGCCATTCAGTTAGTGTCCCTGCACAGTCAAGTTAACAGCCATGTCATCCTCCAAGGTGAGCTTGAAGCTACTCATTGACACAAAGGCCCACAAGGTCCTCTTTGCAGAAGCTGGAAAAGACTTTGTGGACTTCCTCTTCAACATTCTTTCTCTTCCTGTTGGGACTGTAGTCAGGCTCCTCGGCAATACCAGCATGATTGGCAGCCTTGGAAATCTCTATGAAAGCGTTGAAAATCTGAATGAAACTTACATGCAATCTAACCAGAGCAAAGAGACTCTGTTGAAACCCCAAGCACCATCAAGTTCGGCACAAGTTGCCCTTTTGTTGACCGATGAAGTCTCTACCGTTAAGAAAGTGTACAAGTGTGGAAGCTGTCATCGATACATTGCTGATGAACCGCGAGCCATTTGTCCCAATTGCCGGTACACTATGTCCACTGAGATGACATGGGTTAAACCCAATGTGGATAACAATGCTTCGTCTAGTGAGGGCGGTGGCTATGTGAAAGGTGTGGTGACGTATATGATCAAGGATGATTTGGTGGTGACACCCATGTCTACCATTTCTGGTATTACAATGCTCAACAAGTGCAACATTACGAATATTAGTGCTCTAGAGGAGAAGGTTGTAACTTTTGGAATGGGTGAGGTATGTTTAAAAAAGTTTTGAGTATTGAAATTTTCCGATTGCATATGTTATTGGTGTAACAGTTGAAAATTTAAAAATTCTACTTACAGAAAACTTATCTTGATAATGGATTCAAAATGTTGTAACGATTTTAAAATTTTAAGCTTTTTTTATGGGTATTTTATTTAAATGGATGGTCCGAGGTTATCCACATATCTTTCTGGTAAAAAAATCTTGTACTATATTTTTTCTTGTTCGATGTACTAATATATTTATTTTTGATTTTGGTTAGGGTTTGAAATTGCTGAAAGCAGCTCTGGTATCAAAGGAAGTTTTAACTAGTATCTTCCTTGACGAGAAGGTGGCAGAGAAGGTGGCAAAGCCAGTGTAGGTTCGTATAATTGGAGCCTACAATCATATTAAAAAGCTTACCACAATTTTTTTTTGTTATGTTTCATGCTAGGGTTTGAAATTGTTGAAAGACGTATGAATCTGCAGTTTGGTTAGTTCAACTTGTAAGCAGGCTGCATTTTTGTGAATGACTTGCAATCAAAACATTCAGATCGTCTGATGTGGTTTGGAAAAGAAAAGAAAATGCTATTAGACAACCTGTGTTATCTCTTGCTCTATTTGGTTAAGCTGGAAACAAAAGAAAATATATTCAGTGTGTTTGGTTTGAGTTTTCTGAATTAAGTTTTTTGAAAATTGATTTTTTTGATTTTTGTATTTTTTTGTTTTTAGTGAATATTTTTTAAATTCTAATTTTTTTTTTTACTTTTTTAGATGCACTTTACTTAGATGTGTCTAAAAAGTAAAAAATTTGTGAAAAAATATTTTAAAAAGTTAATAAATACATAAAAATACAAAAAATGAATTGAATTTTTGTATTTTTTTGTATTTTTGGTATTTAGTGAATTTTTAAAAGATTTTTTTTATCATTTTTTTATTTTTTAGGTGTATTTATGTTAGGTGTGTCTAAAAAGTAAAAATATTGTTCAAAATATTAAAAAAATTCAATAAAAACAAAAAAAATACGAAAAAATAATAAAGTAGAATTTTCTGAAAAGTATTTTTTGAAAAGTGAAAACTAGTAAGGTGATTGATTTCTCCTTAACTTTGCTCTATTTGGGTGTGGGACCACATGGGATTTACATGGTATAAATCTCATATCTATATGAGATATTTGATAAAATATTTAATAAAATATTTAGAGTTCTTAGCATTTTTCATCCAAATGAAAGGTTAAACTTGAAAAATTATTGGGTTGCCACATGGTACCTTCAACTAATTACAAATATCATATCTTCTTATGTTATCTCCCTATTATTCAACGCATAAATGTAACCCTCATTCTTTTGACCAATGAGAGGAGAAAAATGTACCACATGACACCTACGCACTCAAAAATTTCTCGCTAAACTTGCTCTCTCTTTGCAATTTCATCAATCACGATGTCATTAAATATCAATGTACACTGATATATTTTTTTTTTATTGGACTTCAAGTTTACACGTGGATCTCGTTTTGATAACTGTTCATTTTGGTTCACCTTCAATGTATATTATGATTTTTTAGTAACTTTTTAATTTTTTAGTTAAAATATGATGTAAAAAAAATTAGTATATTTTGGATGTTTTTTTAGTTTTTTACGAAAAAATGTGCAAAAAATAGAGAGAAAAGAGAATTTTTGACTTTTTAATTTTTTTAATGTCTTTTTGATTAAAAAAATCACTTCTCAAATGAGGCCTAATATTCATAATTTTTTTGTTTTATTGCATTTGTCTTAAAAAAAAAAAGGAAAGTAAATATGTTTTTTTTGAAATATACTATCTATTTTTTTTTTTTTTTAGACAACACAATAAAATGAAAAAATATTATAATTATCGAATCAACCTAAATTTTTTCATGCATGATTTACATTGAGCGTGCTAGAAATTCTGGTGAGCGTTTCTCAGCCTTGGTAAATTGAAGAACAAGAGATTCTCAACAGAAAACTACTTATGATCGGAAAATAGAATACAAAAATGCTAGGTATGTCAAAATTTTACCAAAAATTTTACATCATATTCATATGAGTATGATGCCCACACTATAATAGAATAATTATTGGACTTCAAGTTTACACGTGGATCTCGTTTTGATAACTGTTCATTTTGGTTCACCTTCAATGTATATTATTTAGGTCTTGTTTGCTAACATGATTTTTTAATAACTTTTTAATTTTTTAGTTAAAATGTGATGTAAAAAAAATTAGTATATTTTGGATGATTTTTTAGTTTTTTACGAAAAGATGTGCAAAAAGTAAAGAGAAAAGAGAATTTTTGACTTTTTGATATGAGTTGTTGATTTTTTAGTTTTTTTAATGTCTTTTTGATTAAAAAAATCACTTCTCAAATGAGGCCTAATATTCATAATTTTTTTATTTTATTACATTTGTCTTAAAAAAAAAAGGAAAGTAAATATGTTTTTTTTTGAAATATACTATCTATTTTGTTTTTTTTTTAGACAATACAATAAAATAAAAAAATATTATAATTATCGAATCAACCTAAATTTTTTCATGCATGATTTACATTGAGCGTGCTACAAAATAAATGGATTTGATCATCAAAATGACACCAATGATAGGCCTCACAAACCCTGCAAATTCTGTCTTATTGAGATATAAACATGAAATTAACCTAACCCTTGTAGAAATTCTGGTGAGCGTTTCTCAGCCTTGGTAAATTGAAGAACAAGAGATTCTCAACAGAAAACTACTTATGATCGGAAAATAGAATACAAAAATGCTAGGTATGTCAAAATTTTACCAAAAATTTTACATCATATTCATATGAGTATGATGCCCACACTATAATAGAATAATAGATCACAATAAACTTGTATGGTAGGTAAAATTATTTATGATCTTAATTTCTCATGGGTCCATAAACAAAAAATATTTTAAGAAACTTCTATTCATATAAAAAACATCACACGTACAGTGTGGTATATTTTTGTACATAAAACTCATAATCAACATGTTTTTGTAGCGCCTTGATATTTCATCAATAATTCATAATGGTTATTTAAGAACATTATAACTAAGACAATAAATTAAAATATTAAGTTATCTCTTTTCCCTTAAACTATTCATATAATTACATCAATGTATTAATACATTATCGAAAGAGTAATAGTTCAAAACACTGGAGATAACACAAAACAAATGTCCTCAGGGCTTTACATTTTTTCAAGAATTTTCTTTGATTACACAAAAGATGGAAATCTAACTTCACACAAAAATAGCCCAAGCCTTTATAACATAACACAAAAAGGAGCCTCCGCACTCCCATTAGAAACTTCTCCATGCCAATCACTTCAGTAGCACATCAACATCATTCCCTGAAAGGTTATTAGTTTTTTGGTAAGCAATCGCCCAGTAGGAAATGCCATTAAAAAATTATATAATTAATCGAAATACATATGATCATGCTATGTAAAGGATGAGAAATGTAACGCCCCAAAAATTGGGCAGGATATATCTATTTATGCAACAAAACGCACTTGATAGACAAACACATATATATAGCTAACTATTCCATACTTCCATTTCCATTAAATCCTAAATGTCAAATACATGTTGTTCACATCTCAATGCTCCAGTTCCAATCCCAAACATGCATTTTATAACAAGTATGAAATAGAAGCCAAACAGATAATAAATGTCCTACAGGCTTACAAATTTATCCAAGAACTTTCTTGGTTATACAAAATGAAGTTTCAACTGAACGCAAATACAACCCTGGGCTTACATTCAACAAATAACAATAAAACAAAAATGAAGTCTCAGCTCCGAGTCCTCCCAAGTCAGTGCTTTGGCGGACACATATCACATGTACCTGAAACGGTTTCCTTTATAGGGTGAGTCACAGCCCAGTAGAGATATATTACACAACATATAGACCATGACAAGACTAAAGAGGAGTATGCTTATGCCATGCTCATGATAAAACAGTTTATCTCTCTTTTTATAAAACATGCAATGCTGAGATACAACAACAGATATAAAACCATTTCCATTTTAAACCATATCTATTACATGAACACAAGCTCCGTGAATCTCTAGGTGAGTGTCTGCAAGTAGGCCCTAATGCACTACCACTGTCATTTTTACCAGTAAACTGGAAGGCTCAACACCTAACCGCGTGGTTCTACACTCTCTACCCAGATTCACCAAGTATTCATCTTTTCACAAACAGATACATTTCCAAACATTTGTAAAAAACAGATACATTTCCAATGAAATGAATGTAATGCAACGTCCAATGCAACAAATGAGTAATGTGGTTCAATTTACCTAAGTCTCATGCATTTCTACAACAATCATGGTTATCCTCCACCGATAGCCTAAAACAAATATTTCTAAATAGATATTTAAACAATTAAATTCTAAAAATATTCTGATAAATACAATCTATTCCACATTTAATCAAATATGAACAACTACACTAGTTTTCATATCATAATCATGTCCGATAACCTCTCAAAGTCCATTTCTAACCGTGACGGTTTTATTCCAACAGATACATTAAGCAAAATAATACCGTTAATGCCCAAGAAAACATCATTTTCTTTCCAAACTCATTCTCCAAGTATTATTCAATTATGACATCCTATTTTGATCAAAAGCCTCAAAAGTTAAACGTAATTCTTTTGTTTTCTTTAAAAATACTCTTTTGGTCACAAACCGGTAAAAATTTCAAAACCAATCGAATTGAAGTCCGTTTTGTTCAAATTTAAAACATAACTCTTTCATAACCTTACAAACATATTCCAAGTTTACACTTTCGCAATTTGGGCATCAACTTTTTATTTTTTTCAAAATTTCTCTTTTAAGCAAATAAATCACAAATTTTTCAAAAATTCTAATTAAATTATATACAACTCTAAGCTCCCTATAATCAAGTAAAAGTACATAAAGAAGTGTAGGAAAAATTCCTACCTCGATCTAAGAGCTTCCAAGAAAATAAAAATTTCCGGCAACAAAATTTCGATTCGTTCAGATTAAATCGGAGCCCTCAGAACCCTCTACAATTTGATCTATGGAACTAGGGTCTAGAACTTAACAGGTTTTGATGAATCAAGGATTTTATATAATAAAAAAAATAACCAAAGAAAAAATTTTCAGAAGGAGAGAGAGAACTGAGAGACAGAGGTGTTTGATGGAAACAAACAAAAGCAATCCAAGTCTCCTTATTTCTCCGCCTTGTGCTGGCAGAGAAATTGATTAAAAAAGTATATATAAACAAAAGCTAAGCAAGTGGCAAACCAATCACCCAAACAAGGCATGGCTAACAGACCCCGCGTGGTTTTATCCTCAAAATTGATAAAAATATCTACAATTAAAATTATAATTTAGCAAAATTATAAAATTTTGTAACATAAAATTATAAAATGGTATAATTTTTGTTATCACAAAATATAACTCTCATTTAATGGTATACATTATAAATATTCACAACTCTTTTATGGTAATCAAATAATAATAATAAAACCACAACAATATTTCATGGTTACTAACGGGTCACGATTCAATCAATTAGGTTCAAAATGAATGGAGTTTAATAATTTAAAA